TATATTAGAATAAAGATGTAAAGGAAGAAAAACATCATGAAAAATCAGGGGCAGTATTAAATTATTCATTGCCACTGGCCTTGGGACTTTATAGCACATATGGTGTGAACTACACCTTCTCCTCTTTTGCTTTCTTTGATCACTACATGCCAGAAAACTGTAAAAGTTTCTATTTGTGATGGGTTGACCCTGTTGAAGGATATTTTCCTTAAGTAATTGCTTTGATCACTGAATTCAGTAGCACCACTGTCACTTCTACATAGTTGCTTTTCTGGGGATCTCATCCCGGGTGAAAGATCCAAGGTTGTGGGTGTGGGGAAAGATGATGGATGGAAACAATAAGAATGTTCAATGACGCTTGTCCAGGATCCAGGTAGTCTCCTCGTGTCCTCCATACTAACCTGTTACAGAGCAAGTAATAATTCCTTTAGTGAATACATGCAGAGGAGGCATGTCATCATCAAAAACTGAGGTAGTCAACCTGGAAATTCATCCTTTTTAAATAATTATATTGCATTTATATGTTTTTCAAACTTAAAGTACTTTTATAGCTTTAGTAAACACAGCATTAAAAAAAGGATGCCTTGACCTCAGTTATAAAACCAGTTCTGATTTTTTTCTTTAAAAAGAACACATTTTACCCTTTCTGTAGTCCCTGGATTCTTTCATATTTGTGTTGTGAAATGTCATCAGTATTTTCAATCACATTATACCGTTTCCTCCTGTGATATTGTGTGCAAACACTGGGTCTTTGATGTTTCTGTCAGACATATCCAGCAATCACTCTAACTCATACTCTGGAATTTTTAATAGCACTCCACAAACAAAAAATGACAAGAATATGTATTCTTTGGTGAATACACAAAAATGAAGAAATTTGCTAAGTAAGAAAAAAGATTGAAATATTGCTCCTGAATTATTTTTTAATCTCACTAAAAAGAAATGGAAAATAAAACCTGGTGCTGGTTTTTTTTTACTTTTTGTTTTATTTTTCCATTGTCCTACCTCACCGTGCTAGTCTCAGATTTTTGGGAAAGAAACTCCCAGGAGGCAAATTTTAAACTGGTTTCCCAGAGAGCGTGGTCTGTGTAAGGACTCATTTTTTTTTATATTAATTACAGAAGAAATCATCCTTCTTGACATATTATAGTATCTTTTTTCCAAAAGATAAAAATTGGAATAAAATAATAGTAAATGACCCAGCTCTAAACTATGATAAAGGGATCTAATTCATTTAAGTTAGAATACTTATTTAATATCTGCTTTTAATGCAAATATAATTTTATTGGCCTCAATAGAACGGGATCATAATAAGTTCCCCATAATGCCCAGCAGAGTGTCGTGCTTACTGAAAGAATAGCTTTGAATAAATACACAGCATGATAAACAGCAATATCTCAAATAAGCAATCACTTCCTAAGATGGCTTTGTCTTTCCACGCAGTTTAACTCATTGATGTAGTTGTGTGTTTAAATTAACTGAAGTTAGGTTGTGATCCCGATTCTTATATTTAATACAAAAAGCTTTTTTTTTTCAGAATTTTGGTAATCAAACTTTAAAGTTTTATTGCTGATTCTACTTGTCATCAGAATTTTGATAATTAAAAAAGGTTAAATAGTTAATGTCAGTCTATCCACTTGGGGAGACAAATAACTTTATTTTCTTTGTTTTTATCTATTTGAAATTAATTAACGTGTGTGATATAAAAAAATTCAGTCTTGTAACTTCAGGTTAAGCTTAGAGATTTTCTTTTTGCTATTTTACTCAGGAAATTTAGAGTTCGAGCTTTGTCAGTTCAGATTTCTTTCCTTTCCTTTCCTCCTAAAGAGGATATCTAAGGTTGTAGAAGAGTGCTGTGGAGAGCACCCAGGCATACAAAAGGAGAGGTACCTCCTGAAGACTGCTGAGAAATACCTGTACCCCTTTGGTCGTCTGTCCCCATTACTGTGCATTCTTTAAGCTACCTCAAACTACCACGGTCCCTCGCCTTTCATCCCAACTGACCAACCTCCTCCACTAGGGACACTGGATCTCTCTGTCAATCCATATCCTTTCTGGGAGTGAAAGAATTTCAGTATGTTCTGCTGGGTCTTTTTCGGGTAGTATAAATCTAAATTGTAAACAGAGGTACTATAACAGGTCCATTCTGCTAACATTTCTTTTTTCCTTAGAAAGAGAGACATTTCTACTATAGGGTGTGTGCACTTGCCAGAGTGCCATGGAGACAGAGAGCGAAAGAGAGACAGAAAATGAGAAATCACCCCCCAGGGGGGATGGCCACACTGCAATCCTTTCTCCTCCATTCTCCTCTCGGGATCCTGGGCACACACACACACACGCGCCCCATGTGAGTTTTAAGCCACCGGGCCCGTGACTCCAACTGTGATCCACCATGTGGGAGTCTGCGATGTAACCACTTTGCTATCTGCTGGTCCCTCTGCCAACATTTTTGTACTAATTCAATGACACCAACTGGACATGGATACATTCTCTACGACCACTCTGGATTGCCTCCTAAGGCTAAGGACACAGGGCTCAGGTCATTTCCATCAGCTGGTCCTCCCAAACATATCTGGAATTCCCACTGACCTTTCAATCATCCCAACCCTATTTCCTAGAGCTTTCCTGGGGGCAGGGAGTGCAACCTAAATCCAGTCTTTCTCAATTTTTCTGAAGCCTCTCCTCGCATGGCATGAGCACAGTCTATTGAATTTGTGGGTTAGCATCGTTTCCTCTATTCTCTTCTAAGTTGCTGTTTGTAACATATGCCGGGCTTTAACACATGATGATTAGAGATCCCAAATGTCTACCTATTACGTGTAAGAATAGGCTAGTTAATCAAATTATTGGTTCTCATGACAACAGAAAATCCTGTTCAAAAGCCGTGATTGAGCAAAACTCGCACACAGCCAATTGCTAAGGGAAAAAGGACTCTAGAGAATTCTAGAAGAACCTCCCCAGATGTGGTCCCATGATCTTGGGCCTCCGAAATTATGATATAAATATTATACAGTTCTTTTCTTTATAAATCACCCACCGTCGCATTTGGTTATTAGTGGCAGAAATGTTGTTGAGACCATAGTGTCAGTGCTTCTAGCTGAAAATCTGATCAGTTTTCAAATGCTAGATATTTCATAGTTAGTGATTAAATAAGTAATAATGTTTTAATGTCCTTACATTTTTTCATGTTATCTGCAGTCATAAGATTTGTAAGAAGTAAACATAAATATTCATTTAGGTTTGAAGTAGACATATTACTTCTTATTTGCTGGGGAGGTACTCCCACCACCAATCCCGGGCAGAAGTTCGGTTGTGTAGGATCAGTGAAAAGTAATCACAGATTTGGGGATATATAAATAATAAGACCATCCAAAACTTATTTTTCTCAAATCAAGACTTTAATACTTGGAGCAATCTTAAGCATAAGCGATGTCAGACTTTATGTTTTTGTTTATTTTTCCCTCACAAACAGCTTCTGGCCTTTGGAGACTGTTGCGTAGTATTCTGTTTTCCTTACAGTACTTTCAAAACTTTCTTCACTTCTTTCTCTTTTAAATACTTTTTAACTTTAATTTTATATATTATTATTATTTTAATTGGACCAGAGAGAGACAGAGAGAGAGAGAAGGAACGTAAAAAAGCAAGCTGCCAGCTCTGGGACTCAAACCATGACTGGCCATGTGGGTGTCCAGCATCCCTGTCTTTATTACTCATGTGTGCTCTTTCCTCCTAATTCCTTCTTGATTTCTATAAACTCATTTTCATCCCTCCTATTGTCAATCCATTCCTACATTTTAGTTGGCATTTCTGTGTTGGTTGTTTTTTCATTACTCATTCTTAAATAAATGGAATTTTCCAAGATCAGTACTTTGGGGTATCATGATGAAAATTCTTTCAAATGTGACAAATATTATCCCCTCCTATCATTAGTTTGACTTATAATTTTGTCTTTTTATCACAGAATTTTTAGTATTTATGAATTTATTAGTATTTTCCTTTATATTTTCTTCTTTTGTCTTATGGTTGTAAAGACATTTCTCTTTCAAAAATTACATAAATGTATAACTGCATTTGCTTCATTTTTGCATTTATTGAAATGTCACTATGATTACTTGTATGATTTGAGGGCTGCATTTTCTATAATGTTCCATTTGTCTTGCTGATGCTTCTTTTACTAAGGCTGTTTGTTCTTTTAATACACTTTATAATATGCTATATTGTCTTGTAAAGCTGGCAAGATATTATTTATAAGATAATATACATATCATACTCCTCTCTAGCTTTCCATTTCAAAATGTAGTACTTTTATCCATGTATTCTATACATACTTGAACATTTTTTTCCAGGCTCCAAAATAAAATGCTTTGGAATTTTAATTGTGAAAGCATTAAGACTAATAAATTATTTACAAAGAATTTATTACCAAGATAATTGCATTTCTCTCCCAAATTGTATATATTTCTGTTTAAATTGTTTTGTAGTTTTTTTCTATGTAATATGCACACACACATGTGTATGATCTTTTTGTATCAATCTTGTATTTTATATCTGACTAATTCACATTTTTATTAAGAATATGAAATTAACTTATTCTTTTAAGAAAGTATTACAAATTTTTAACTATTATATGGAAATTTTAAAAACTTTTTTCTGATTCTATTATGAAAGTATTATTATATTAATTATTCTACTCTATTGAACATTTAGTTTTATCTAAAATAAAAATGCTCTTAACATTTCTGTTCATTATATTTTAAATAAGAAAAATGTTAGTAAATATATTTCCAATAATTTTACATTAGAAAAATAAAATGATTACTAATGTGGGTAAACCAATTTTATTCTTAGTGATGTTATAAACACTAATTGTCCTGTAGCATTTATCTGCTTATGTATTTGATAACATATCACAAATGGTTTTAATATGTAGCTCCCAAATTCTTAAATTAATCTTGGTTACTTTGTAACTCAAACACTTAATGTTGCTATTTGTACTTTAGGTTGGTGGGATGGTTTGGCCATGAACTGAGCACCAGATTTAAAATGGATAACAGTTAAGTATATTCTATTTTACTTCACAGGATATTTTATTTTCACTTTTATTTTAATTTTCATGTCTTTGGATTATATTTAATATACATGTCCCATGGAGGATACACTTTTGAAATATCACTGTGAATCGTTGAAATAAGTAACGACATTTCCAGAATGTAAAATTAGGTGTTTATAGACGTTAGTGTAATTTCGAGTCTATTCCTTTGTTGAAAGATAAAAGGAAATAACATCTAACACTCGGTTCACGTGACCTGGTGAGATCCTATCAACAGCGTGCCTTAAACATCAGGCAGTAAGGACAGGAGGGAATTTGGGACTTGCGATCAGGCTCAGAGAAACTTGGATGTTAGTCCCACTTTACTACTTAACAGTTTTGTGATTCTGCACAAGTTGATCATCTTAGGCTATTTTACTTTACCCAATATTTAATATGAATAATAGTATCTATTGATATTTCAGAGTATAGTTTAAGAATAAGTAAAAACTTTAAATTGAGGACCAGCAGTTAGTGTAATGACTATGTCGCTGGATTCCCACGTAGTCGACCACGATTTGAGTCCCGGACCTGGTGGCTTAAACTTGCGCTGGACACGTGTGCGTGCGTGCCCAAGATCCCAAGAGAATGGAGGAGAAGGGATTGCAGCATGGCCATCCCCCCTGGGGGGAGATTTCTCACTTTCTGTCTCTCTGCCTCTCTCTCTGTCTTTCTGGCGAGCGCATGCGCCCTATAGCAAAACCTTCTCAAACAAACAAAAAAAGTCAAATTCAAAACTTTAAGTAACACAAAGAAGTACTTTAATAAATATTTATTTTCCTTCTCTCTCCAAATTTCCCCCTTGTGGTTTCTGCCACTAACAAAGAATGTAGCAATCTCTATGAACAATTAAACCCCAGGGGGTAGAAACAGAACTATATCATGTGAATGCCTCTCAGATGCCCTGCTTTTTCCCAACTGACTCTATCCTTCAGTCACGAAGGACACAGAAAGCATCATAAATGATATGAGTGTTCAATGTAAACCTGATATTGCAGATTACTTCTAACCCTGAGGTTCTTTATATATATATTTGTATTTACAATAATCAAGATGAGGGACCAGCATATGGTGTAATGGTTACATCACTGGACTCCTACGTGGCTGACCAATCTGGTGACTTGAAATTCACACCTGGCTCATGTGCATGAATGGCCAGAATCCAAGAGGAGAATGGAGGAGAAGGAACTGTGGCGTGCCTATCACTCCTGGGGGAGGGGGTACTGATTTCTCACTTTCTGTTTCTTTGTCTCTCTCTGTGTCTCTGGTGAGCACATGCACCCTGTAGCAAGAGTCTCTTTAAAAAAAAAAAAAAAAGATGCAAAGGGGCAGGATAGACTATGCTAGACAAATCAGAAAACTGTATTTTATCTTGGGTGCTGAAATAATAGCTCTGTGATTGTGCCAATTACTTAAATTCTTTAAGGTAAACTTCCTTATCTGTAAACAGAAGTAGTAGACTAGATAAAGGATGAGAAATTTATTTCTTTGAAGGACAAAAAGGAAATTGCTTTTTATACTATACAAATGGAAAATACTTCTCCCTGTGATCATGGTGCAATCACACCATCACTGATACATATTGGGCAATTGTGGTTATGTTCTCCTAAAGCTATGCTTTTTTTTTTTTTTTTTTTTTTTGTAGGTTTTTGTTTATGGAGCTCGCCCAACAGACAGAGAGAGACAGAGAGACAGAAAACGAGAAATCACCTTCCAGGGGGGATGGCCATGCCACAATCCCTTCTCCTCAATTCTCCTCTCGGGATCTTGGGCACGCACGCATACGTGCCCAGCGTGAGTTTTAAGCCACCGGGTCCAGGACGCAACGTGCATTCCCTTCGGGGGGAGTCCAGTGACTTAGCCATTACGCTAACTGCTGGTCCCCTCCTAAAACTATTTTTAAAGAAGTAAGTGGATCTGGGACCAGCAGTTGGCCTAATGGCTATGTCGTTGGACTCCCACGTAGTCGACCGCAGTTGGCGTCCTGGACCCGGTGGCTTAAAACTCACGCTGGGCACGTATGCGTGCGTGCCCAAGATCCCGAGAGGAGAATTGAGGAGAAGGGATTGTGGCATGGCCATCCCCCCTGGGGGGGGATTTCTTGTTTTCTGTCTGTCTGTCTCTGTCTTTCTAGTGAGCACACATGCCCTATAGCAAAAATCAACAACAAACAAAGTAAATGGATCGGATTTGGTCCATAGGCCATAGTTTGACTGGTCCTGCATTAGATGAAGGTATATAATTTTGTTAAATGTTTTTAAAGAATTATTTAATTATTTAATTAATTAATTCAATTCACTAGAGAGATAGTAAGAGAGACAGCAAGGTGCCAGGTTTGGGATTTGAACTGCCGTCGATCATGTGGGTGTCCAATGCCTCAGCCACCATACCACCTGCTGACCTCAGAACCATAATGTTTTGACATTCTTTTAGTCAATCTTAGTCTTAATTTTATCTCTAACTAGCCACCTTAATCTTACTGGATTTAACTTGCCAGAATTTAATCTACTTAGTTCAAAGAAAGTATCTGCTATTAATTTACATTTTAAAACATACCATACTTACGCAGATCTTTTTTTAAAAAGCCTTCTCTCCAAAGCAAGTCACTTGGCTTACTACTCTTAGAGCTAAGACACCTTCATAGGTCATTTAATTTGTTTTTCTGCCTTCGGGTGACATGACAATGACATGCCCTTCACATCTTAATGCTCTGTCACATTGACATGGTTTCATAACAGAAAAGCAAAACATGGGGCAGAATATGGAATGCTGGCTTGGGAATGGGAACAGAAAGGATGGGTTCCAGAAAAACTTTAGTAAGAAGCCTTTTTCATCTGTGTCTAATGGTTCTAATGTTCTAGCTCTTAGTGAGCTTCTAAGAAGATTCAGACAAGAGGTGGAAAATGCCAGTGATCGGGGAAAGATGCCAGGATTTGAGCTCTGTGGAGTTCCTCTTTATTCCCAAATAGAAACACTATACGGGAATAAAGTGTTTAAGTCTTACCCTTCTACTGTGTACTTCTTTAATGTCTATGTGGACAATTTTTAAGACATATCCTATAAAACTGACATGTATTTCTTTTACAGAACTGCAGTTAAGCCCTGGGGTCAGTGGATTCCGAATTTCAAATCCTCCCATGTTACTGGTCTGTTCTTTACAAGCCAGCTTGGAGGTGAGTGGTCTATGTGTCCACCGAACCACAACTTTTTCCTTTTCATTCTTTTTTTTTTCATTTTAATTAAACTTGTATTTGCTGTCAAATTTCACCACGATGTAAGAATATACACAAATTAACCAAAGTTGTGTCACTGTTAAATTCAGTTATTGTCAGGATCCTGTTTGCTTAAACAAAATATGTGTCTAACATGATACTGTGTAAAACAAAGATTCTTGGGGCCAGCAGATGGCATGGTGGAGTCACTGGGCTCCCACCCAGTCAGCCACAGCTCGAGTCTTGAACCTGGTGGCTTGCTTTCTTATTTTCACTCTCTCTCTCTCTCTCTTGCTGTCTCTCTCTGGTGAGTACACATGACCTTTAGCAAATTCAAAATAATAATAATAATACATACAATTAAATAAATAATTATTTTTAAAAATTCATATTTATATTCAGGTAACAGAGATACAAAGATACTGTTTTAGCAGGGAGAGCATTCTTCCTAAAGATCATGGGAAAATAAAAACATAGGAAGCTCAACTGGTAAAAAAACCCAGAAACTTTCTACACATTGTGTACAAGATACACCCTTCATTGACAAAGGTATTTGTAGGCTGCAAGTGAAGAGACTGACAGCTTGTAGTACTTCCTCTGCTAGGCAGCAAGATTAGAAATGTGTAAGATGCTTGAGTAGACGATGGACAAACGGCAGTGTTCTCCTCGAGGCCAGCAGAGGCGCGGCGACTAAACCTTACATTTACACCTCCAGCCCCAAGCACAATGCTTGCCACATTACTGGGACATAGTGAACATTAAGTGGAACTGACCTGGGGAGACGTATTTTTTGTTACACTGAGAATATGTTTGAGCTTAAATAAGTTATTTAACCTTCTCTTGGTCTCTCTATGTGCAGAAGAAGCTTGTGATATTTAATTCTTCATTTAATTCATCATTGAAAATGTAGTTGTTGAGAAAATATTGCATGGCAGGTACTATGGACTCTCTTTTCTCTGTCCTATGAGTCAGTGCACTTCTGGGAAGTACCACGGAACAAAGTTAGGATTTTAAAAAGTCCCCCAAACAAACAAAAAACTGTAAGTGACCAGAGTACATCAAAGACTGAGCAAGGTTGCCTCATGAGGTAGGTTAGATTTTTTTTTTTTTTTACTGGATTGTCTATAGCTATGTAAAATCTCTACAATTATTGACTCATTCAAAAAATATTCATAGTTTTCATTAGAAAAACTTAGTGTCACTGTGTAATTAATATCTATATGTTAGGCTATATATACATATATATGATGATGATAGACAGGTAGATACATACAGATAGATAGATAGATAAATATACATATTCCAAAAACCAAACTACGATTCTTTAGATATTATTTAGGGTTAGATCAACTCTATTCTAGTAAATATATTTTGTTAATAATTATATGCCAATCATAATATTAATACATGTTAAGTGAATATATATTACATGTAAAGTAAAATATAATTAAAATACATATACATACATTTATATTTCAAATAACGGTGTTACATATATTAATTGAACAAGAATTTGAATTATTTTCTTTAATACCTCCTAAAGTCTTCTAGCATATATTTTAGAAAATGTAGTTGTAGAGAATTTTAGCATCGAATCAGTGACAAAGACTTTCAAATTCCCTTTCAAATCTAGATTCTACAGGTCTTTGCATACTTTAAGCAGTTTCTCATTCTGGCCACAGGAGGGCACTGTCAAGTTCCTCTGGTCTTACATAACTTAAAGATTGGACAGTGATAATCACTATTTCATTTGATTCCTGTTTAAAGAGCATCTTACTCAGTTTGACCAGTAGATGGAGCTTGTGCTGTTTTCAGTTTTTGGCAGAATTCTTTAAAATTGGAAAATAGACCCAGTAACAAGATTTTTTTGGCAATGATATATTTCGGGAATATTTTTCTGATTAATAAATCAGATAATGAAATTTGAGTTGTTCGTAGGAGGTCTATCAGAGAAACATTTAAACATTTTAAAACACAATAAGGTTTCTGCTTTCTTTGCGATTTTATATCAAGGATGAGTGACAAAAATGAAAGTGACCAACAAATACTTCAAGAAGAACTAGTACTTAAAGTAGTTTCCTCTGATTGACCTTATCTTTGTAAATAATTCCTCAGTCATATCTAGAAATTTTCTTTTAGATGCTCCCATTTGGAGCTGTTCTCTGCACTGGGCTAGCTTTCCTTCCAATATGCACTCTGCTGCAGAAGGAGAGAAAGCAGTTTCCTATCACCTCTAGTTTTTTACCCCATTGTATTAGAGTCACCAACACATATTCTTTATTCTCAGTTATACTCTAATTTATTTTCTTCCTTTAATATCGAAACGTGAACCTCAGTTAAAGGACCCCGAGAGCACAAGGAGAGGAGTGTACATTTCTCCGGAGCTCCGTTAAAGGACCCCGAGAGCACAAGGAGAGGAGCGTACATGTCTCTGGAGCTCCGTAGTGCTCCAGTATTTCTCTAGAGCCTCTTACTGAAGTCATTTGCTGCTGAGGTTCTTTTCTGACCATGTTATCTTTAGTTAACCAAGCCTTATGTTAGAGAAAGCATCTCTCAAAATGATCCTCTAATTATACACTGCAAAATTGTAAGAATTACAGAATTTTGTCCTTAAACGTTTTCTGGTCTATAAATGTGAAAATGTCCTGCTAATTTATGAGCTCGCTTTGTGAGTACCAGTGAATTAACCCTGTTAGTACTTTCCCTATCTGTTTAGAAACTTACTGCATTATAGGAGACACAATGCAGGGATTCTTAAAGTTTGTAAATAAAAGATATAAACACATGCCTTTTTTCATTGTCTCGATTTTCCTTGGGAAACATATTTTTATAGTTCAGTATGAACTCAAGGACAAGAATCAATTATTGGGCTAGCTGGTGTTATGGTGGTTAGTGGCTGGAGCCCACATGGTCAATCAAGTGGTTTGAGGCTCAGACTCTGGGGCTTGAAAATGATGCTGGGAATTTGGGTGTGCATGAAAAAAATCTCACCAGAAGTGAGAAATGGAAGAGAAGGGATTGCCCTGTCACTGCTACCTATGGGGATGCTTTCTCATTTTCCAGCTTTCTCTCTGGGGAGTGCATGGACCCTCTGAAAAAATTTTTAAAAAAAGGATCAATTGCACATGATTGTGACCTCAGATTTTCCATATAATGACTGATTAACGTGCCTTTATTTATAATCACTTACGCATATGATTGATTTGAGATAATTAAAAACAACACCTGTAATCAGTTTCAAACTGTTCTTTGTATTTTTGGTGCTTAATAATTTGTATAGTAACTTTAAAATATTGTGGATCAAAGGAAGGCTGAGGCTCGGAACCAGGCGGCAAGTCTACCCCTCACTGGACACTTGAGTGCGAACTTACACAAATAGCAGTTACTCTTGATTTCATCTGCCTCTCTCTTCTTTTTTTTTTTTTTTTTTTTGAGAGATTTTTCACTGTAGGGTGCGTGCGCTCGCCAGACAGACAGAGAGAGACATAGAGACAGAAAGCGAGAAATCACCCCCCAGGGGGGATGGTCACGCCGCAATCCCTTCTCCTCCATTCTCTCGGGATCTTGGGCACGCACGCACATGCGCCCGGCGTGAGTTTTAAGCCTCCGGGTCCGGGACACGAACCGCGGTTGACTACGTGGGAGTCCAGCGACATAGCCATTACACTAACTGCTGGTTCCCTCATCTGCCTCTCTTAAATGAAGATGTTTGGACCAGAGTACTTCAGAAGTCTGCTTAATCTTCCAGTTATTTGAAATTAAATAATATGTCCTAGTCTTGTGTAGCAATAGGTAGACGATTTTTAGATCCTTTTTGTATAAATTTACAATGAAACAACTTGCTTCAAAATACAAATTTAGAGGAGTCCATTAAAATACATGCCAGGTCAAAAGATCTCAAGCAAATAAAAATGTACTACATGTTTCTGCACAAAGTTATGAGGGAGTCGGTTTCAAGAATTCAAATGAAGAATATGACAAATGGAAACATCAAATTGTACTTATATTTCTTATTTAAACTTCTCTAACTTTTATAACTTTGGGTTCACTTTACTCAGTAAGAAAAAATAACCAAGTATTTGAACCTTTGCCAAGAATTCTGTTATAAGTGGAATATTTTTCAAACTACACTTCTCATTTTTATCTAATTAAAAAATTATTCTTTCTGAATTCTGAAAGCAAAGGAATAATAAGTAAAAAAGAAGATATTTATCCTACTTCCTTGTAAACTCTTATTAGCTCCTCGTAATATTTTTATGTGAAGCCTCACAATAGACTTTCCTACCCTGTAAGAATTTAAGAGTACCTCAGAATACAGCTGCCCTTGTCATTCTAATGTGGGAAATAGTTATACAATATAACTTATTTAAAAGTTAGTTTCTTATTAAAAAGTAATAGCATTCCACAGTATATTAAAGTGGGACTACTGGGGCCAGCAGATGGCATAGAAGTTACATCACAGGACTCCCACATGGTCAATTACTGCTCAAGTCCTGGACCCGGTGGCTTGAAAATCATGCTGAGTGTGTGAGTGCAAGTCCAAGATCCTAGGAAGAGAATGGAAGAGAAGGGATTGTAGTGTGGCCAAAACCTAGGGGGTGATTCCTCACTCTCCTTCTAACTGTTTGTCGCTGTCACTGGCTGGCACACACATCCTATGGCAAAACTTGTACAGAGAGAGAGAGAGAGAGAGAGAGAGAATCAAGCAAATAAAAATGTACTACATGTTTCTGCACAAAGTTATGAGGGAGTCGGTTTCAAGAATTCAAATGAAGAATATGACAAATGGAAACATCAAATTGTACTTATATTTCTTATTTAAACTTCTCTAACTTTTATAACTTTGGGTTCACTTTACTCAGTAAGAAAAAATAACCAAGTATTTGAACCTTTGCCAAGAATTCTGTTATAAGTGGAATATTTTTCAAACTACACTTCTCATTTTTATCTAATTAAAAAATTATTCTTTCTGAATTCTGAAAGCAAAGGAATAATAAGTAAAAAAGAAGATATTTATCCTGCTTCCTTGTAAACTCTTATTAGCTCCTCGTAATATTTTTATGTGAAGCCTCACAATAGACTTTCCTACCCTGTAAGAATTTAAGAGTACCTCAGAATACAGCTGCCCTTGTCATTCTAATGTGGGAAATAGTTATACAATATAACTTATTTAAAAGTTAGTTTCTTATTAAAAAGTAATAGCATTCCACAGTATATTAAAGTGGGACTACTGGGGCCAGCAGATGGCATAGAAGTTACATCACAGGACTCCCACATGGTCAATTACTGCTCAAGTCCTGGACCCGGTGGCTTGAAAATCATGCTGAGTGTGTGAGTGCAAGTCCAAGATCCTAGGAAGAGAATGGAAGAGAAGGGATTGTAGTGTGGCCAAAACCTAGGGGGTGATTCCTCACTCTCCTTCTAACTGTTTGTCGCTGTCACTGGCTGGCACACACATCCTATGGCAAAACTTGTACAGAGAGAGAGAGAGAGAGAGAGAGAGAAAGAGAGAGAGAGAGACTATTTGTAACACAGAAACAAATGTTTGTTAGTTATCAAAAGTAACCTGAAAGAACAACCCCTCCAGCCTTTTAAAAACTGTAAACCTAAGTAATATTCTCCCAAAGTCGTCTTAAGCTATGAATAAAAATGAACTATCAAAACACATTAAAAGGAATATTTCCCACATTGCCCTTACCTGCATTTTGTGGCACCCGTAGCAGAAACAGGAATTTGCCTAGATTTAACATATTAATTAGAATTTCCATGAATGTTATTCATTTCCAGAGATAAACTTGAAACGATTCATCTCACAGCTGTTTTTTCCCCAAATCTCCCATCAAACACCTATGAGCCCCACCTTGCTCTCCTCCTGTTCTCTGTGAGAATGCTGACTACAGGCTTTTGCCCCCAAACTTGGCTGTGTTTCAAGTCCTCATTCCACCAGGTCTGCCTACATTTTTTTTTTTTAACTCTACAAAAAGAGGAGACCTTTCTATCAAACTCTGTGACTCTGGTCACCTGAGTCCTGAAGCAGTAATTGCACCCCAGATCTCAGGTGCTTCTGAAAGAGCCAGCCTCCACTTGCAGCTGATACCTTCTCAGGCTTCAGACAGAGTCGGTGAGGTCTGATTAAAGAGAGAAACGCATATTACTCTATCCTCTGCTTCTCTTTTCCTTAGATAGCATTTCTTCAATACAATTCCCATCTTCTCCTTCAGCCGAATTCATAGCTTCCGCACAGTAGAGTTCCAGAACTATCTATACCCGAATGTCTTGAGAGCTGTTAGGATGCCTGGTCAGACTTGCCACATGTAACACAAAAATAACTATTTTCATAGACTTGCTAAAGTCTAGATGCCACCCACGACCCTAGTTTTGCTCTTGATATTTTTGTTGTTGATGCAGAAAAGAGACATCGAGTGGCATGCCAGTGCATCGCGCTCTGCTTGCAGTTCATTCAGTTCGTATAGGCAGGATATATTTTTAAACTCTACTTGACCTTAAGTGATAAGCCAGAAAAGCATGTCTGCTCTGACCTGTAATGTTGTGACACCAGTTAGTGTGTGGCCTTGTCACTCATCTTTATATAAGACACCTCAGACAGCAAATGACAGCATTTTCACACTAGTGCTAGAGTTTAGTAGGGAAAAAAAAAATAGAAAGTAAGAAAGACAGAATGAAAGAAAGCAGGCTCACGTGCTTCAGTAAAAGTAAGTATATTACCTAACATTTGCTTCCTTTTCTGAGAAATTTAGCTTAATTATTTAGCAGCTTGTTTACTTACCGTGAAGCTAGGAGAAATTTGGAATCTGCAAAACACTTATAAATAATATTAATAACATTGCCTCTCACATATGTATATATATTTAGTTCATATCGCACTTTTTGTGGACCAAACAAATTTTGCATCAGAATAGAAGGTGGGTGGGAGGTAGCAGATGTCATGGCAGTTATGTTGCTGGACTCCCACATGGGGCCAACTACAGTTTGAGCCCTGGACCCAGTGCCTTGAAAATCATTCTGGTAATGTGTGTGTGCCCAAGATCCTGGACGGAGAATGGAGGAGAAGGGATTACGGCCTGGCCATCCTCCCTGGGGAATGACGTCTCACTTTCTCTCACTATCTCTCTCTCTCCAGAAAGTGCACACACCCAAAGTCAAAAACCTCTTAAAATTTTTTTGGGGGGAAATTTTTAAGTTTTATGATACTTAACTGTATTTGCACACACTATTTTAAAATAACTATGAAAAGACACAATATTGGCTTAATTTTTTTTTTCCTTCTTTGATGAGTATTGTTTAAAAAACACATTTTTTCTGTCATAGAAACTTCACTTTCAATTCTTAAGGGCAATGCCCTTAAAATGGCTTTTTTTTTTTTTAAAGGTGGTCTGAAATGAGATATCTATTGGAAAGATTTAAAGTGAGCAATTCCTTTTTTATGCATGATTTACACTTAATTTTTACTTCTTCATGAATCAGTAATATTCTGCTAATGTGATTGTTTCTCATTCTGCAGATCTTTAAGGAAGCAACTCTGAAAGCACTGAGGAGAAAGTCCATTTTGCTAACTGGTTACCTGGAATACATGATCAAGTATTACTACAGTAAAGATGAGACAGAAACCGGGAAACCAGTTGTGGACATAATTACTCCATCCTGCATAGAGGACCGGGGCTGCCAGCTAACATTAGCGTTTTCTGTTCCAAACAAGGATATTTTCCAAGAATTACAGAAGAGAGGAGTAGTTGTAAGTACATCTCTTGCTTTGCTACCATAGTTTCTCCAGTAGCATAGGCCAAACATTGGGATAATATTTTGGTTCTTTGGTTTATTCATTTTTGCATGTGGTTTCCTATAAAACACTCAGTTAGTGTAAATTAAGTGCCAGCTGAGCATTCAAGCACTGTGCTAATTGAAGGGCATACATAACCACTGTTTCTGGGAAAAGAGAAGAAATCACAAATTTGGGTTGTAGGGAATAGTTTGATATAACATTTTCTTTTTATAACAGTTTAGACAGAAAAAAGAATTCATCGTAATCAATTATGACTTTTTTTTTGGAGGGTTTTTTTTTTTTTTTTTTTTCTATAAGCGGCGTGCGCTCCCCGGGACGCCTATAAGGTGCGTGCGCTCGCCAGACAGACAGAGAGAGACAGAGAGACAGAAAGCGAGAAGTCACCCTACAGGGGGGATGGCCACACGGCAATCCCTTCTCCTCCATTCTCCTCTTGGGATCTTGGGCATGCACGCACACATGCCTGGCGTGAATTTTAAGCCACTGGGTCCGGGATGCGAACCGCAGTCAACTACATGGGAGTCCAGCAACATAGCCATTATGCTAACTGCTGGTCCCTATGATGTTTTCAATAGTAAAAACTCCAATATGTATTCATTGAATAAATGGAATAAAATAAGATGTCAATTTAGTGAAGGGGAAAAATAAAGCAGTTTTATTTAGTTGCTTGATTAAACTAAGATATTTTCAACCTTGTCACTTTGGTCAGAAAAATATGTAGACTCTTCTCAAGAGTTGCAGCATTGCAAGAAATGTTTAACCGGAAACCAGCAGTTAGCGTAATGGCTATGTTGTTGGACTCCCACGTAGTCGACTGTGGTTCACGTCCCAGACCCGGTGGCTTAAAACTCGCGCTGGGTGCGTGTGCGTGTGTGCCCAAGATCCTGAGAGGAGAATGGAGGAGAAGGGATTGCAGCATGGCCATTCCCCCCTGGGGGGTGATTTTTCCCTTTCTGTTTCTCTCTGTCTTTCTGGCGAGCACATGCGTCCTATAGCAAAAACCTCTCGAAAAGAAGAAGAAGAAGAAGAAGAAGAAGAAGAAGAAGAAGAAGAAGGAGAAGGAGAAGGAGAAGGAGAAGGAGAAGGAGAAGGAGAAGGAGAAGAAAGAACATCAAAATTGCAAACCAAGCTTCCCTCTTTCCAAGCTACGTGCTTGGAAACGGTGGGAAAGGTCATTAATATCTATTGGCTTGAGATTTCATATCTGTATTTTAATTGTAAAAATACATACCTCAAAGAATTGTTATGAGAATTAAGTCAGACAGCACACATAAGCCATCTACCTTATTGTCTAGCCTAGAGGGACTATTTCTAATATTTGGCCATAGTAATCTTGGGGCCAAGTGAAATGATCTGGTCTTGCCTCAGGACCTATGAGAGTTCCCCTAAATTTTTCCAGATACCAGTGAGATTCTCATCCCTTTACATTTGTCCCAGGGTTCCAGGCCTTCCAAGCTTCCCCCACAGAAAAATTATGTGTATGATCTATTCGATATTTAAAGAAGACACTTGCTGAGTCAATTTCAGAAAAATATTTTGGACATTTATTTACCAACGCATTATTATTTTATTTATTATTAAGAGAAAAATTTCAGAGGCCAGCAGGTGGCGTAAAGGTTAAGGTCCTGGACTCCCACACGGCCTATAACTGTTTGAGTCCCAGACCTGGTGGCCTGGAAATCCCACTGGGTACATGTGCCTGCAGGCCCAAAAACCCCGTAAGGAGAATGGAGGAGAAGGGACTGCAGTGTGGCCATCCCCCCTAGGGAGTGAGCTCTCACTTTCCCTCTCTGTTTCTGTCTCTCTCAAGTCACAATGGCACATGCCCTATGGCCAAAAACCAAAATAAATAAAATACAAATAAAAAGAGGAAACTTTCAAATAACATGGGAAAACTATGTTTTACTTAAAATGGAGAAAAAATTTTTCTTACATATTAAGTTTTAGGAAAATTGCATGAATTTTTGTCTTGAGTTTATTTTGAATATAAGTTCTCAAAGTGTGACTAATGCTAACATTGTGACTCTATTTCTTCCCCCCACAGTGCGACAAGAGGGATCCAAATGGCATTCGAGTGGCTCCAGTTCCTCTTTATAATTCCTTCCATGATGTTTATAAGTTTATCAATGTGCTTATTTCTGTGATTGGCTCTGTAGAAAAAAAACGTTACTAGTTTTTTTTTTTAACTTAATTATACTGAAAATGATATAGTTATGCTATTATTCAATTTTAATTATTAAAAGCATTTCAAAATTGATTGTATGTAATGGGCAATAAATCATATATTTTTCAGAAAAATCTGATATGATTTTCAGCCTATGACCCTGAGGAATATACATAGATACCCAGGTTCTTGGTGTTTTGGGGCTCAAAAATTATATTGGTCCAAGTATTATGTACATAATCCATCACATTTTATGATCATCAAAGTGATTTATGTTGATTTAATTGTAATTTGGCTGACAAATTCATATTGCATGTTATGTCAGTTTTAGAAATAAACCTTAGTTATAATTTACTAAGGAGCTTTCTGAGCACTGCAGATGAACAGACTGATGTACTTATTTTTTATTTTGTCAGTGTGGGTATCTGCTCAACAGAGAGACTGAGAGAGTAGGAGAGGAAGAAAGCACCCCCACATAGGGCATAGTCACCCCACAGTCACCCCTCCACTTCTTCATCCTGTCAAGATTCTGAACAACCACACACAATATTTCAAGCTGCCAGGATCAGAATTCAAGCCATATGGTCAACCATGTAGACTCCAGCTCCCTTAGCCAGGAGGCCCTGGAGCCGGCCTGTATGTGTGATTTTACCATCTTCCATACAGCACCAGTCTTAAGTGGGAAAAAGGACATTTTCTGGGAAAGTGGCTTTCAAATATTTTTGGCCTAGTCCATGAGACCAGTACTTATGTGTACACATGCCATATTTAATTGATTCTTAGACATTTTTGTCATATTTTAGCATCTCTGAAAGAGGACATGGCTTTTAATTTTTGATCAATAGCTTCATACAATCAGCATTGGCCATTCTTTCACATTATCATCTCTAGAACTGCATGCTTCTCACAATGAACAAGGAGCATGTTAGATTTGATTTTGAAATGGTGTACATAACAAAAATAAATTGTCATAAATTATTTTTGTGTCCTGATTTTTAACTGTATTTACATCAGTATAATAAATGCTGGTTGCAACTCATTATAGTAGTCTCCCTCATACACAGTTTCATTTTCCTTGGTTTTATTCACAAACACAAACAAAAATATCAGTGGACAATTCACGAAAGGTCTACAGTCTTGTGCCCTCTTACTCCATCCTGCCAGGGATGTGTGTCATCTCTTTGTCCCGAATATTCACACTATATATCACCCACCTATTAATCATTTAATAGCTTTCTCAGTTTTTAGGTCAAAAACTGTATGCTGGGGGACCAGCAGTTAGTGTAATGGCTATGTCGCTGGACTCCCATGTAGTCCACCGCAGTTCGAGTCCCAGACCTGGTGGCTTAAACTCATGCCGGGCATGTGTGCGTGCGTGCCCATGATCCCAAGAGGAGAATGGAGGAGAAGTGATCCTGGGGGCGGGGTGATATCTCGCTTTCTGTCTCTTTGTCTCTCTCTGACTTTCTGGTGAGTGCAGGCACCTTATAGCTAAAACCTCTCAAAAAAACAAAAACAAAAATAAAATCCTTAAGAATTATTTTGAGAATTGAGAAAAATTTGTACAGAATTTGCAAGTCAAGATTCCATTTTTAAGCCCAAAACCCTAAGAAAGGCTCAGATTCCTGGGATAATCTTGGATGTTACATTTCTCTTGGGCTAGTAGTTTTGCTCTTAACTAGAATATTCACAGAGGTGCAAGAGATACATTATAGTGGAGAGATGACTTATCCTTTGGGACCAGCAGTTGGCGTAATGGCTGTGTTGCTGAACTCCCATGTAGTCTACCGCAGTTTGAGTCCTGGACCCTGTTGCTTAAACTCAAGCTGGGTGCGTGTGCATGTGTGCCCAAGATCCCAAGAGGAGAAGGGACTGCAGTGTGGCCATCCCCCCTAGGGAGTGAGCTCTCACTTTCCCTCTCTGTTTCTGTCTCTCTCAAGTCACAATGGCACATGCCCTATGGCCAAAAACCAAAATAAATAAAATACAAATAAAAAGAGGAAACTTTCAAATAACATGGGAAAACTATGTTTTACTTAAAATGGAGAAAAAATTTTTCTTACATATTAAGTTTTAGGAAAATTGCATGAATTTTTGTCTTGAGTTTATTTTGAATATAAGTTCTCAAAGTGTGACTAATGCTAACATTGTGACTCTATTTCTTCCCCCCACAGTGCGACAAGAGGGATCCAAATGGCATTCGAGTGGCTCCGGTTCCTCTTTATAATTCCTTCCATGATGTTTATAAGTTTATCAATGTGCTTATTTCTGTGATTGGCTCTGTAGAAAAAAAACGTTACTAGTTTTTTTTTTTAACTTAATTATACTGAAAATGATATAGTTATGCTATTATTCAATTTTAATTATTAAAAGCATTTCAAAATTGATTGTATGTAATGGGCAATAAATCATATATTTTTCAGAAAAATCTGATATGATTTTCAGCCTATGACCCTGAGGAATATACATAGATACCCAGGTTCTTGGTGTTTTGGGGCTCAAAAATTATATTGGTCCAAGTATTATGTACATAATCCATCACATTTTATGATCATCAAAGTGATTTATGTTGATTTAATTGTAATTTGGCTGACAAATTCATATTGCATGTTATGTCAGTTTTAGAAATAAACCTTAGTTATAATTTACTAAGGAGCTTTCTGAGCACTGCAGATGAACAGACTGATGTACTTATTTTTTATTTTGTCAGTGTGGGTATCTGCTCAACAGAGAGACTGAGAGAGTAGGAGAGGAAGAAAGCACCCCCACATAGGGCATAGTCACCCCACAGTCACCCCTCCACTTCTTCATCCTGTCAAGATTCTGAACAACCACACACAATATTTCAAGCTGCCAGGATCAGAATTCAAGCCATATGGTCAACCATGTAGACTCCAGCTCCCTTAGCCAGGAGGCCCTGGAGCCGGCCTGTATGTGTGATTTTACCATCTTCCATACAGCACCAGTCTTAAGTGGGAAAAAGGACATTTTCTGGGAAAGTGGCTTTCAAATATCTTTGGCCTAGTCCATGAGACCAGTACTTATGTGTACACATGCCATATTTAATTGATTCTTAGACATTTTTGTCATATTTTAGCATCTCTGAAAGAGGACATGGCTTTTAATTTTTGATCAATAGCTTCATACAATCAGCATTGGCCATTCTTTCACATTATCATCTCTAGAACTGCATGCTTCTCACAATGAACAAGGAGCATGTTAGATTTGATTTTGAAATGGTGTACATAACAAAAATAAATTGTCATAAATTATTTTTGTGTCCTGATTTTTAACTGTATTTACATCAGTATAATAAATGCTGGTTGCAACTCATTATAGTAGTCTCCCTCATACACAGTTTCATTTTCCTTGGTTTTATTCACAAACACAAACAAAAATATCAGTGGACAATTCACGAAAGGTCTACAGTCTTGTGCCCTCTTACTCCATCCTGCCAGGGATGTGTGTCATCTCTTTGTCCCGAATATTCACACTATATATCACCCACCTATTAATCATTTAATAGCTTTCTCAGTTTTTAGGTCAAAAACTGTATGCTGGGGGACCAGCAGTTAGTGTAATGGCTATGTCGCTGGACTCCCATGTAGTCCACCGCAGTTTGAGTCCCAGACCTGGTGGCTTAAACTCATGCCGGGCATGTGTGCGTGCGTGCCCATGATCCCAAGAGGAGAATGGAGGAGAAGTGATCCTGGGGGCGGGGTGATATCTCGCTTTCTGTCTCTTTGTCTCTCTCTGACTTTCTGGTGAGTGCAGGCACCTTATAGCTAAAACCTCTCAAAAAAACAAAAACAAAAATAAAAATCCTGTATGCTGGGTTCAGTACTATTTCTGGTTTCAAGCATCTACTCATTCTTGAAGTGTGTTTCTCACAAAAAAGAGGGGATGACTGTAAATTGATCTCCCTTCTCAGTGTTGAGTCCTTATGCATACTGTGTAAGGATGTTCCTTTATTTAATATATAATCCCTTGGTTTTTACGTGGGGACCCTCCCCTTAGATACGTGTTTATAGATTACTCTCTCACCAAACCGGGAAATACATCACTCCAAGATTCTTGTGATTGAAGAGTAGAATTAGGAAATAAGTGCTTCTTCTCTTGCCTCTTTATCCCAAGTTTATGATCTTTTCTTAACTGTTACAAAAAAATAACGGGGTACACTCATCTCTGTTAGTCTTTTCTATTGGGTCACTGGAAAAGTCATGAAGAATTTTTTCTATGTTTTTCTATGCAAAAATGCATCATGACTTTTCTAACAACCCAATAGTTTTCACCTGTTGCTATCACAACCATTATTTTTGATTTTGCAAAATATTCTAAATTTGTATATATAACCAGAAAAAGCATGATATTTATACTTACTACTGTAATTTAAACAAATACAAATGAAATAAACCAACTTAGCTAACAACCATGCATAGTAGAGTTAAATATAATCAGCCTTTTATGTCCATAGGTTTTTACCTCTGTGGATTTATCCAACATTGGATTTAAAATATTTAGAAAGGGACCAGCAATTGGCATAATGGCTATGTTGCTGGACTCCCATGCAGTTGACCATGGTTTGAGTTTCATCTTAAACTCACTCCGGGCACATGTGCGTGCATGTCCAAGATCCCGAGAGGAGAATGGAGGAGAAGGGATTGCGGCGTGACCATTTCCCCTGGGGAGTGGTTTCTCACTTTCTGTCTCTCTGTCTCTCTCTGTCTTTCTGGTGAACGCATGCACCCTATAGAAAAAACCTCTCTAAATAAATAAATAAATAAAATATTTGGGAAAAATAAAATACAAATTAAAAAAAGCAATAATACTGTATAGTGTAATGCCCATTTATATTATATGGTCTTTGCATTGTATTCAGTATTATAAATGACCTAGAGATTATTTAAGAAATATGGAAGGAGTACATAGGTTTCATGCAAACACTATGCCGTTTTACATGAGGACTTGAGCATGTTTGGATTTTCATCTCAACAGGGTCCTGGAACCAAACACATGGAGACTGTGGGATAGTTGTAATAAGATGTGGAACTCTAACAGGAACACCTACTAATTGGCAACTGCTGAAATTTATCATGTACTTGCTTACCTGGTATCAGTGATACACAATGTATACAGTATCTCACTTAACTGAGTGGTTACATAATTACCTTTAGCAAAGCTTTACCTTCCAATCTTTGGTGAAATTTATCTTGAGATCGAAGAGTTCCCAAAACCTAAAAATTTAACCATAGGTGGCAGTCAGACCAGTCTGGACCAGTGTAAATTGGTCAGAACTGGTATAAAACAGCATAAATTACTGAGAACCGGTGTAAACCAGTATGAATCAGTCTGAGGTGGTCTGAACCAGTGTAAACAGGTCAGAACCCATATGAACAGTTATCAAACAGTCTGAACCAGATGGAATGAGTCTGACCTGGTATGAACCAGTGTAACCTCTCAAAATCGGTACAAACAAGTTTAAGGTTTATACATATATACATGTCCATAAAGATTTATTAACTAATTTGCCAGTGTGTAAACATTGTACAAATGGGAATTTTTATATATTTTTCTGCTGTTTTTGTTCAACATAATATTTTGGGGGGGATTCATCTATCTGCTGCACATAGGTTTTCATTTATTTTGACTGCTGCATAGTATTCCATTACACATTTTAAAAACATTTTAGAGAAGAGTTAAAATTGACCTTGAAGTTCTTATACACCTAGAATTAATTTTTGTGAATGATATGAGATGATTCCAGTTTATTTTTTCTCATATAGGTTGTTTATATGACCTGTAATTCCTTGTCTCTCACAAATCAAGTTAACATGTGTATGTGAGTTTCTTTCTAGGCTGTCTTCTCATTGGGTAATTTTCTTATTCATTCATCAGTACAACTTTGGGTTCATTACTATGACGTAATGGAGACTGACATCTTCTTACTGAAAACTTTTAGCTTCATTTTGTAAGAATTGCCTTGCTTGTACCCATCCTCCTGTTTTTCCCTTTATACATTTGTAATACATCTATTGTGCTCTATAAAAAATCCCTGCTGAGATTTCAGTTGAATTGCAATACATTTTAGATCAGTTTTTAGCTCCCTTCAATATTGAGGGAGCCCAAGATCTTGACATACATCTCTAGTTATGTATGACTTCTTTAAAGTTTTGTTTTCTTCATTAAAAGACTGCATATTTATAGTTCAATTTATCTGTAAGTAATTTTACTGCTATTTCACGTATTATCTTTTATAAAAATTTTTGAGAGATTTTTGCTATAGGGTGCATGTGCTCACAAGAGGTACAGAGAGAAAGTGAGAAATCACCCTCTAGAAGGATGGCCACACCACAATCCCTTTTCCTTCATTCTCCTCTTGGGATTTTGAGTATGCACGCACATGTACCCAGCATTAGTTTCAAGCCTCCAGGTCCAAGACTAGAACTGTGATCAGCCATGTGAGAGTCATGTACCTTAACCACTAGGCCACCTCCTGATACTTCTTTTATAATCTTTAAGGCTTCACCTATAGCCGTCACAATGTAGGCACATAATTGACTGATACATACTGCTATTTTATATTCAGAATTATTTCTATATCTCATTAATGATTTATTTATAGCTTTTTATGTAGAAAAGAATGATCTGCAAATAAGTATAACTTGCCTTCTTTCTAGTTCTTGTAACTTTTTTCTGTTTTCCTTTTGGATCGAGGAATATTTCCATACATATGTATGGATATGTGTGCTTGTAGGTGTTTTCCTTATTCTTGTGAAGTTATATACTTATTCTTTGTTATTTTTTAATAATAACTTTTATGTTAAATTCATACATGGAAAAATTTTAAATCAGCCATTTGTAAACCTTTCTGCTGACTAGCCGTAGAAATCTGAATGCTTTGGTATCAGACAGGCCCCTTTCTATTCACGCATCACTGTTATCAGGATAGCAGATGTGGTCCAGCTCACCAAGACCCACCGCACAGAAACCAAAACGCTTGCCCACTCGTTTGCTCTGCCACTCCGGGTTCCATTTTAGAATTTATTAGAATTTCTATTTCAGTGAGACTTTGTTAGTGGTAAACTTTATTAGTCTTCAGGGAATGATGCTTTAACTTTTGTCTTGTCCCTAAAAACCAGTGTCATTTAATAGAATTCTATGCTGACAGTTTTTTGTTTTCTCTTAAAAAGTAGAAAGTCAGTGCCTCTGGTGGCCATTCTCATTATTGAGCCCTCAGCCACCTTTAGGCATTCGCTCTTTGGAGCTTTGGTCTATAATTATCCATGGTTGTTTACTTAGTTAATGTGACGCACCTAGCTGGCTATTAGTTTTATTCTGTGTTTTGTTTTGTTTTTACTGTGTTTCCAAAATCTGAAAAGAATGTATGTATTTTCTTAAGTTCTGGGAAATCTTAAGGTAGCATTTATTCAAATATTGCCTCTTATCCACTATTTCTTTGTTGAAACTCTAATATAATTTAGATTAAACTTTTTCCCTCATTCCTATCTTTAACCTTTTTCTCCTATTTTCTATTTCTTTGAATTTCTGGACTTCGTTTTTTCTTAAGTGACAGCACATGCAGAGAGAAGGAGGGAGTTTGGGACAGCTAGAGAAAACACCACTGGGTGTGGTCACACAGTTCTCCAATTTTACACAGAATTTGGGCATGCACACACATGTTCACCCAGCATGATTTTCAGGTCCCTGAGTGGCCATTTGGACCATGGTTGGTCACGTGAGATCCAGCTCTCTTAACCACTAGGCTATAGCACTGGCCCTTACACTTTTTTTTTTTTTTTTAATTATAATTTATTCTGTGTTTTGTTTTGTTTTTACTGTGTTTCCAAAATCTGAAAAGAATGTATGTATTTTCTTAAGTTCTGGGAAATCTTAAGGTAGCATTTATTCAAATATTGCCTCTTATCCACTATTTCTTTGTTGAAACTCTAATATAATTTAGATTAAACTTTTTCCCTCATTCCTATCTTTAACCTTTTTCTCCTATTTTCTATTTCTTTGAATTTCTGGACTTCGTTTTTTCTTAAGTGACAGCACATGCAGAGAGAAGGAGGGAGTTTGGGACAGCTAGAGAAAACACCACTGGGAGTGGTCACACAGTTCTCCAATTTTACACAGAATTTGGGCATGCACACACATGTTCACCCAGCATGATTTTCAGGTCCCTGAGTGGCCATTTGGACCATGGTTGGTCACGTGAGATCCAGCTCTCTTAACCACTAGGCTATAGCACTGGCCCTTACACTTTTTTTTTTTTAATTATAAGAATTTTAAATGTAGTTTTCTATTTCTAGAATTAACTGGATTCTTTCCAA